GCGAGGAAACCCTCACCATTTGTGTATCTGGCATCTACCAGGTAATAATATGGTCTCGGTACCTTTAACCCATGTGGCCTAAGAAGAGCGTCTCGAAGCACTCTACCATCGGCCGCTGACTCCTCCCATCTGGGTAACACATATATAAATTGTATATCTTGTGAACAGACCCTTAACAAGTTTGTAGCAATTTCATTCTTTCTCGTTCTATATCGAGCCTTGTCTTCAAGTGGCATTAAGCACCTTATGTATGTTCTATCTAAAGCTCTTAGACAATTCTAAAACCAAGAAAACATAAATGGTCATTACACACTTTAAGTTACTTACATGTGAATACTAAAAAAGGTAGATATTCCATATACCTTGAACCACTTCCATCTTCCATCGGTAGAATCCTCTTGAATGGGTTCGGGTTTTTTAAGAAAATATGAATGCAATCTTTTCAATGCGTTATTGCAAACTCAAGTAAATAGTCTACTGATTGTTTCTCCCGAACGATAAAAACGACATGTGATAACAAGAATTTTAACATTATCAGCCATAATATGAAGGAAAATAACAACTTATTCATCAATATCCATATGCCTACCTGCTCGTAATCCTCCTAATATTTCCAACATATCACATAACTTTTTGAAACACCTTATGTTCATCCTAAGTTATGATATGCACATACTGTCACTCTCATAAGCATACCTATGCAATAATGAAGCTCAATCCATATTTGACAAAGAGTATCGAATACGTGGTTTATCCCTTTTGTAGTCAGCTATTAAAGTGCAAATTGTGATGAAAAACCAAGCAATAATGGTCATAGCTTCATACAAAAACAATCTCATAAGCCTAGGTCTGCATGTTGTGAAACTAATCGGGCCAATACAAATGGTTTTATAATTTATTTAATATATAACAGTTAGTTTGCAAGGTAACTACAAATGCCATGAATTTTTTAGGTGAGGATGGTGACAACATCCCTTAAAATGCATCATATTCTCTCTTTACCCATAGGGAATCCAGAGCTTGAAACCACATGGTGCTGACTATGCCACTCATATACCCTCATCATAGCCAACTTCATTTAATCAATTATTTAATAACTTTTCTTTGCTTTGATTCCCACTCTTCATTATAATATTTAATTTACAGCTAACCCAAATAAGATAAATTGTAAGTATAGTAATAGTATTAGTAGTAGCAGCAAGGGCATATATATGAATGCATGCATGCAAACACAAGAGGGAGGGGGTGTTGGGGACAGATCTGGACCATCCAGAATTGTATCTTTAATATATATATATATATATATATATATTGGAATCTGGGTGTTGTTACTGCAGTTGTATGATGAGAAGGTACAAATACTAGAGGCTTTTTCCATGCTTAATTCTTGATAAAGAGAGATGGTGTTGATAGAAGTTGGTTGTGTTTGTACAACAACTAATTTAATATAAACAAAAGTGAAATAAACTTTTTATATGTATTTATATAAAGTATAAATAATTAAGCAAGAACATTACTGTTGGAACCCAGATACTCTTAATTCTCAGAAAAACACAGTTGATAAAGAATATGATTGAAGTACTAACAGTGTACTGAGTTTGATCAAACGAAATATTCAATATAAATAAGAACAGTAGAGGACTAGAATAAATCGAATGATTTTATTAGATGAAAATAACAATTCTCAATCTAAACGTATTCTCACAAGAAAAGACTATAGTATAAGTAGTCACACTCATGTTATTTGAACCTGAGGAAGAAGCCTCCTTATATACGCCTAAGTCAAACAAACTATGCTATAATTATGGTTTCAAACTCTGAGTTGTCGAGTCCGCATCCTTTTCGTTGACTGCCCTTGAAAAGTGGAGCGGACCAGGTCAAGTCGCCTTGATTCTATTTGACGCTTGCGAGAATGTCTGGACTACATGTATATACATGTACTATACAGAAGCTCTGCATGTACTATGCAGAGGTTCTGTATATACAGAGGCTCTGCATGTACTATGTAGAGGTTATGTATATACAAAGACTCTGTATGTACTATGTAGAGGCTCTGTGTCTGGAGTTTAGCTTTGCATCAAGCGCTTAAGCTCTTTGGCGCTTAAAGCTTGATCGTCCACAGAGATTGAGCATAGGCTTTATATGTAAGATCCTTGACTCTTTAAGTAAGAGCTCTGGGTTTTGACTTCTACATTAGAGCTCTTAGTCCAGACTACATCTAAAGAATAAGTCCTATGGACTAGAGTAAGAGGCTTCTTACTTACACTTTCACAAGATGGGGTCTAACAATCTCCACCCAAAGTGTAAATAAGATGGACTCTTACTAGAATTGAAAAACACAAGTCTAGTCGAAGCTAGAGGTTGAAATAAACCTATGTGTTACATTTTCTATCTAAGAGTTACAAAACGAGGAAAGGAAATTACATTTGTTTGAAAAGATAAAAAAAATGCTTACAAGAGAAAAGGCCTAGATGTGTTGAAGATTACAGAACCTCCTAAGAAGCTCTCAAAACTCCAACAAGTTATTGATTGACCTTAGAATTATCTTTGCTCTTTCCTTTGCTCCAGGGGTGTTATCTCTGCTCCTGAGTAGATGATCTTTGATGTAGCGCAACGTTGAGTTTGAATATTTAAAGCGTTGGTCTTCTCGTAAAAATGTTTTCTTTCTTGTTCGTTCGGAAGACCACCCTTACTTCTGGTTCCACCAACACGGTCCACGAGGGAATGTTTTTGATGTCTTGCAGATCTTCATTTGGCGCAGTGCCACTCAGTTGATCTATTCCTAGGTCTAGAGCCAATTGAAAGTCAAACTTGCATCTGAAGTCCAGAAGGTCCGTCATTGTCTATCTTATTGCAAAATTGGCCAGAGCATATTTTATCCCCTTGTCCTTCTTATGATCCGTGAAGTAGTATAGAGACAAAAGATCCCATGGATTCAGATTTATGAGATCACAATCTATGAAAGTGCTAATCTGTCCACAAGACCTCTCCACCATATATTCATGGAAGATGATTTGAGTGTGCACGAAGGTTTGTTTCTTGATGTCGCGGACTTGCTTGATGCCATCGACAGAATGGACTGCAGAGACATGCTATGTATATCATTGTAAGAACCTCTGCCTGATGTTCTCTTGAGCCGTTGGATGTAGGTTGATCTTGATGACTGGTGTCTCATCCCTCAGGATGTAGAGGAATTGGTAGAGGTGTTAGCTATCTTCCTTGTCCTTGATTGGCTTGTCATGGGGTGTGGGCTTCATTATCACATCCATACTATCTCTGATCTATTTTACTCGATCAGAGGGTCGTTTGGAGCTCTAAGGCTTGCTGCTTGTGCCTGCATCGGGTCTGTTTGGTTTGACAGGAACCCTCTGCCTCATAGCTGGTATGACTACTCTGGTCTCTTGGGCAGGGACCTTGGCTCTGTGTGTGTTCCTTTGTGGTGGTGGTGCAGCAATTGTAACTCCTTCAAGTGGGACAGCAACAGGAATAGCCGTTAGTGTTGGATCGGCTACATTTAATGTCACCACTTCTTCTTCTTCATGCCCCCTTGTAGATGGAGCAGCAGTCTCCATGGCATATTATGTGGATGATGATAGAGGCTCTTCTGATTCGGATGAAGAGACGTATACGATAAGATTTGAATCACATTCTCTTCATCTTTCTTTTGCCCTTCTGGCTCTACTGTGGATGCCTCAGGCATTTTCCCTTTCCTCAGTGCCTCTGCATGTACTGGCGCATTATGTGCTCTCTGCCTTGATGATTCTGGCACTGGCTGGCATGGGGCAAAGATAGAGGGGGCAGCCCTTGGAGTGGTACTTGGGGGGGGGGGCTGTGGGCTGGTTCTCCTTCTCTTGACGACTTTGAGGGCCAGACATGTCTAGGTCCTCATCATCATCAAGCCTCCTCTTCTTCGAGGCCTCAGCACATGCAGTTGGTTCCATTCTTCTTTTTGGCCTCTGTTCGTCTGCTGTAGGCATGGCCTTGATCTTGGCTTCAAAAAGTTTGAGAATCTCCTCGGTTGCTTCCGAGACTTCGAGGATTTCCATGTTTGTACGGTAATTGAAGCCTGCCAAGGAAAGGCGTATTTTTGTTGCTACCTTCTTGGCCTTGCTGTTGAAATCAGACGTGAAGTTGGCCACTTTCTGGAGGAGACGGTCACCCACAACATTCATCTCTAACTGGGTGACATAATCGATAGAGACATTCAGAGGAATGAGCGCCTGAGCGTCTTGAGATGAAGTAGAAGCTTCATCCCTCTGAATGTATGCAAGGACCCTTTGTAGGGCCTCTACATTTTTGGCTGTCAATTCCTGAAGTTGATTGAGTCGAGAGGCATTCGTCATAGACTTAGCCCTTAATACTGCTAAGGATGATCGAACTTCATCCAAAGCAGATGCAGAAGAAGATGGCTCTACATGGGCCATGTTGAGTTTTTGCTCATCCAAGGAGCACAACACAGAGGTGGCAAAGAACTGGAACTTGTCCCTTGTGACATATGCTGTCGGGGTAACCTCTGGTTCAACACATGAGCCAGAGTGAGTCCTCGTTCCAAGGACACCTTTTTTCTCGACTTGTGGGAAGTTGGACAAGGAAGGATTTCCAACAGATCCTTGTGGCTCTCTTGGAGGAGAGGTCACTACTGTTGTTCCGTCGTGAAGAGGTTCCAAGGCAGATTCAGAGCCAGCTAGAGGACCCTCCACGAGTGGACGAGGAGATTGGTCAAGAATCTCCAAGTCTTGTGCACCTAAACTTGGCTTTGAACAAGATGGGGAAATCACTAGTATAGAGGAAACGAATTCCTCTGGTTGGGAGAGTGGCGTGATATGGGGAGACATATCACTTATTCTTTCAAAGGTTTCACCCGTTTGAGAGGGTGATCCCTGGGATGTGGCTTTCCTTTGGCTAATATGACAAGAGGCAAATGCGACCTCTGGTTGGCTTGGCAGGTTAGGAATCGAGGTGTGCACCTCTTCTTCAATGATATTCGTGTCTCGACCATTTTAGTCAGATGATGTGGTAGTATTGGGAGTTGGGCTAGGGAAATAAATGTGCCTATTCACCATCCTTGGCTGCTCTAGCTCGCCCTGAGACAGAGCAGCTACTTCACCTCCTCCCTCCTCATCTTCTTCGTTCTCTTCAGATTCAACTGCGACGCCCACTTCATCTTCAAGGGCGTCGTCCCCTTCACTTGTTTCATTTGACCCAGCAACATCATCATGATGTTCTTGGTCATCTTCTTCTTCAGAGCTCGAGAAGAGCTCCAAGCCTCGATTGGCTTCTTCTTCTGCTCTGATTCTCTCTTTTTCCTTTAGACGAGCAATATCTTCTTGTCTTGATCTCTCTACTCTCTCCTCTTCTGCTTTCAAACGAGCAATTTCTTCAAGTTTTTCTCTTTCCACTCTGTCCTCCTCTTCCTTCCTCATCCTCTCTTTTTCAACTCTCTTATTTCTTTCCTCTACCCTCTTTCTCTTTTTCTCTCTCTCCTTCTCCAATCTCACTTCTTCCTCCTCTGCCTGAGGCCTTTGTGTATCCTCTGTTCCCTCATCCTTTTGGTTGGACCATATGAGTGCCAGGGTTCGAGGCACTAGGTCTAGTGCCTCGTGTACACGTCTGTATGCTCTCCTCACCTCCCTCGTCTTCATGTATGCTAACAGTTTCATCGGGATAGGCCTCTCTGTAGCATAGCCTTCTTTGTTGACAGTTGGTTTCTAGTACGTAAGCACATTCACCTTGTGCATAGGCAGATTTGCCACATCAATGTCGTTTTCGTCAAGAATGGGTCTTAGAAGAAGACCCAAAAAATAAGAAAACAGGAGCGCTGGTAAGTCCTTTCCCTTAGCCACCTCTAGGCACTTCTTGGCAATAGCAACCTTGAACTCCGTGTAGAGGATCAAGGAGTAGTTCAACGAGAGATCAAAGAAGATCCCATACATGATTTGGAGAATGTTGGTTGAGCACATGTCCAAACTTCCAATCTTCCCTGTCAAGGAGCGATTCACCAATGTGAACATTGTGTTCCACATTGGTGGCAGGTACTGTCATCGGTATTGAGAAGGGTATTGAATTGCCTTGTTGTACCCCAAGAACTTCAAGAACGACACTATTTCATCCCCAGATGGGAGAGGGGCATATTCATTCAGCCCAAGATCCGTCTTGGTAGGAATTTGTTGATCCCAGATCTCTCAATAACACTTATAATCTAGTTAAGAATAACCAAATTATAGTGTTTTAATGGAGAAAGTGATGAACACTCAAGAATGAATTATAAACAATAAAGAACAGTCTTGAGCTTCAAAGGTTTCACTTTATTGATAAGAAAAACGTAAAAAAGACATTTAGTACAATAGGCCTAATCACCTATTTATATTAGAAAGCTAATAAGAAGATAACTATGTAATGAGAATTTTTAGCTAATCTTCTATTAACAGATAATGTTTATCTAAACTATGGATAAGCTTTAATATTAAGATAAACTCGAAGTGTAGTTGTCGACTTGTCATCTCCAGCTGTCGACTTGTCATCTCCAGCTGTCTTCCATGGTATGATGAATCATCCTTATCTTTAAGTCTTCATCGTATGCCTCAAGATGAATTGATGAAGAATTCTCTAAGTGTTGTTGACAAGAGGGGCGATGAAGATGCTCTTTCCATCGCATCCCTGGTCGTCCATCAGCCCTCTGGTTGTTCTCCAGACTTGGCCAATTCTGCCTTGATGTCTTCATCGATCTTCTGGTTCTTCATCACTTATTGTTTTTCATTACTTTTTCACTTTATGAATTATGGGACTTAACAAAATTTGTAGAACATGCGAAAATAGGGACCTTGAAATCCTGACAGTGATGTACTCCTTGGAAGAGGGTACATAGAAATCTCCAACTATCCCTCGTTGGGATTCAGTTACAGAACAAGTTTGTCAAAATTCTTGGATAAAACGCTCAAGGAAAAGATCTTCCGTGTTTGTAAGTGCAGGGTTCAAGAAATAGTGTTAAAGGATGTCAATGACAGGGTGAACTTTTGGGTCAAAACTGTCTAAGGAGAGTTGAAGGGCATGGTTGTTTGGTTTTAGTGGAAGTGGAACCACATTTTGGCTGGTTTCTTCCATTTTTTTAGGGTTGTGGTGTGTGTTTGAGAGTTTCCTGAATAGGAGGAAGACATAGTTGCAGGTTTGATGGAGGGTTTTGGAAAAACTAGCGTTTAGAAGCTAATCGGTTCTTGATTCTTTAACAGGTCTAGAGAAGGGTTTGATATACTTACTTGGAGAAAGATTTTGGACGTTTGCACCAAAGATTACAGTTCCAGAAAGCTTTTTGAAGATTGTTAATGGCGGTTCGAGAGCTTGAAGACGATGATATTTTTGAGAGTATTTGAAGGCGTAAAAGAAAATTTGGGGTAAAAGATTTGTTTAAATAGAATAAAAGTAGAGCACTTGAGTGTTACCCCCCCCCCAAGCGTCCGAAAACTGAATAGGTTGCCTGTGGGGAGTTGCCACGTGGCCTGCCAGCTGCAAATGGCGCCTCCGTTATTTGAAATTTTAAAAAGACAGGTGGTGACGCTTTTGTAAATGACAGTCAATAAAATACTAACAAATAAGAACTGTACGCCTTCCTTTTAAAATGATATATTTTAAAAGCTTTAGGATGAAATTGACAAGCGTTCATACTCTAGTTTGAACAAAACAACAACCATGAGACAAAAGCTCTATATTAATGTAGAGTTACTGTGCTTAGATTGTTTAAAAATTTTGAGAAAGAAACTAGAGTACTACTTAAGTGTAAGATAACATACCTTAGGATCTCATACAGAGGCTCATGGTTGGACTATACAAGTCCTCTGTCTAACAAACTTGTTATGTTTAGAGGTAGAAGCTCTACCCTATAATCATGAAAGTTTGTAGAGACAGAGGCCCTGTATAGTACATACAGAGGCTTTATATAATGCATGATCTAGTGTTCCCCCTCGACTGTAGCTCTGTTTGATTTGCTCCCCCTTGAACTATGCTTGGATCATAAATGATAAGTAATGCACAAGTATGATGAACAAGGTATAGAGGCTCTGTATGTATTATACAGAGTCTCTGTATTACAAGACTATTTAGACTTGAGCAAGAGGCTCTGCATGTACTATGCAAGGGCTCTGTCTCATGGATCAAAACTTTAAAAAAATACAGAAGTGTGCTCAAGACGGATGCAGATGCTCTGTATAGTACATACAGAGGCTTTGTCTATGTTAGTGAAGATTGAGCATACCCAACTTGCTAACCAAAAAGTTGAATCTCTTTTCATCAAGAGCCTTTGTAAAAATGTCAGCAAGCTGATGTTCTGTACTTACAAAAAACATTTCAATCGTACTTTTGTCTACATGGTCTTTGATGAAATGGTAGCGTACGTCGATATGCTTTGTTTTAGAATGTTGCACAGGATTGGCTGTGATTGCGATGGCACTTTCTGAATCACACAGAATTGGAATCTGGTCAAACTCAACGCCATAGTCTTTCAGTTAAGTTTTCATCCATATTACTTGGGAACAGCAGCTGGCTGCGACTACATACTCTGCTTTAGCAGTGGAGGTAGATACACAATTTTCCTTCTTTAAAGTCCACTTATAAGCTCGTCTCCAAGTAATTGACAACTCTCTGATGTGCTCTTTCGATCAAGTTTGCATCCTGCATGATCAGAATATGTATATGCAATAAGATCAAATCCATAATACTTTGGATACCAGAGACCTAGAAATTGAGTTCCTTTTAGGTATCTAAAGATTCTTTTCACAACTGATAGGTGAGATTCCTTAGGGTTGGCTTGATATCTAGCATAGAGACACGTAGCAAACATAATGTCTGGTCGACTAGCCGTGAGATGCAGCAATGATCCAATCATTCCACGGTAAGTCTTAACATCCACCGGTTTTCCAGATAGATCTATGTCAAGCTTAGTTCCCGTAACGATTGGTGTTCTCATTATGGAAGAGTTATAGAGTTGACATTTCTTTAATATGTCAGAGACATACTTTGCTTGGCTAATAAAAATACCATCCTCCCTCTGTTTTACTTGCAAGCCGAGGAAGAATGTTAGTTCTCCCATCATGCTCATTTCAAACTCACTCTTCATCAAAGTAGAGAACTTATCACAGTGCCTCTGGTTTGTTGATCCAAATATAATGTCGTCTACATAAATTTGTACTAGAAGCATCTCACCTTTATACCTCTTAATGAACAAAGTAGTATCGATTTACCTTTTCCAAAACCATTCGATAAAAGAAAAGACGAAAGACGTTCATACCAGGCTCGAGGCACTTGTTTAAGTCCATACAGAGCTTTGTCCAAGAAATAGATATACTCTGGATGTGTGGATCTTTCAAACCCCAGAGGTTGTTGAACATAGACTTCCTCCTTCAGCTTTATAATATCAGTGTTTCGTTAACTCGTACAAATTGGGTTAAGTGAATTTTTGGTAAAATTATGCATAACATATTTGTATTCTATGCTTAACCAACTTGTACCCTAAATTAGTTTTGTGTCAAAAGTTGAGTTTATACTTAATTTGACGTAAAATTGAGAATCTAACTTCAAGGAGTAAAACCGTCAAATAATTAAACTTTATATATATATATATATATATATAATTATAAAAAGAAAAATAAAAAGGAAATAAATATATATATATATATATACACGAGAATGAGGACGGTTTCATCACCGCCTCATTCTCTCAATTCTCAATACTTTCTCCAAAAATCTATCTGTCTTCTTTCTAAATTTCACGTCAAGTTCTAAGTGGATCGAAGTAACAATTATATATTCGGAATCCACTCTTCGAACCCTTCTTAAAGGTATAAATTTCATTCAGTTAATTATGGTGTTTATGTTAGGGTTATTAAGAAAGGTTTATAAATTATGTTTATGTCTAAGTTTACAGATTGATGTTGTCAAAATTATGATATATTTGATGCTTAGAATGCTAGGACTGGTTAAATTGATGTAGTAATGAAAAGGGTGTCAAAATCATGATATATTTGATGTTTAGGATGCTAGGACTGGTTATATTGATGTAGTAATGAAAAGGGTGTCAAAATCATGATATATTTGATGTTTAGGATGCTAGGACTGGTTATATTGATGTAGTAATGAAAAGGGTATATTATAGTTTCAATATGGTTAGATTGTGGGTATATGTTTAACCGTACATTCGGTTAAATGCCGAAAAGAGTATAAATGCATGATTAAGCTTAGGTTAACGATCATTAGACTTGTTTTACTGTTTATTATGTTGAAGTATGATTATAGCATGTAAATGTAGCAAATCACGGAAGTTGGATCATAAAAGTTAGTCGGGAATTACGGAATCGAATTTTACCGACAATGTAACTCCCGTACTTTGATAGTGTATAACTCACAAATCGTAAGTCGGATTAAGTTCGTATTTTGCAGTCAGGAAGATCATACTGCATACTACAACTTTCATTAAGGGTCAAAATTCCAGTTATGAATCTAAGTGGCTCGAAACAGTGTGTTTTCGAGGATGTTTATACTGTATCCAGGATTAATTTGCAGTTTTGTAAAATTCATATAAAATAGATGGATGATCCAAATGAGATGATTTAAAAAGCAATAGACTCCTTTGACATCAATCTACAGCTTCTATTTA